AAATTTAATTTTTGCGTGATATCTGGAAGGGAGATCGTCACATAATTTAGCCAATGAAATCAAATGTCCACTATGCTTATTTATATACATCATCATTGAATTGACTGTATGTATCATCATCAAATGGTTCTGTTTTTTGTCGATAGTCCTCAAAGTCCAATAAAAGTCTAGTTGGTCTTTTGTTGAACCAAGCTTTGTAATAATAAGTCAGGTATTTACCAAGATAAGTGAAAGACAAATTCTCAACATTTGAATTAAAATATGCAAAATGATACTTTGGATGAAGCATGAAAGAAAGCAGAAACAGTGGCTGTTCCCATTGTTTCCAACGTTTTTCAAAACATTCAACCATTTTTACACCTAATTCTGAATCAAAAAAATTATTCCAAAAATTAATAAAATAACCCAGTGCATGAAGGACTTCAAACAAACAAGCTTTATCACACTGAAGCTTATTTAAAACTCCACAGTAAGGTAACAAGATAGACTGTAAGGTTTCAATTGTTTCCCACCAATTATTGTCAATAAGAATATTACAAATTGTTGAATTTAAATAAAATTCATTTGGATTTAGCTCTATAGCAACTTGTGAATGCTCATAACGTATTGCCAAATTCTTAAATAATAAAATAAAATAATAATCATTAAACTATGATTTTTTAAATAAAAACAATCAGATATTTAAAACAGAATCATTACCCTTAAAGCTTGTTTTGAATGAACTAAACTGTTAAAACAAAAATAATGGCTGTTCCATCTTGTCTCACCTGGAACAACAATTGAATAATATTTATTATATAAGTCCATTTGTATATTACGTAATTTACCAATAAAGTAGTAGGCATTGTTTCCATTTTTGAAGAATCCTGCCACAGTAATTGCTTTTGCAGAGGATGCTTTGAAACCAGATGATTCTTTAAAGATGTCACAAATTGCCAATTGACATTGGTGGGCAAAACAAGGCAGAAACACAATAGAAGGATATTGCAATCTAAGCTGGTGTCTTTTTAAAAATAAATAAATAAATAAATAAATTTTTGATTTTATATCAAGATGATCAATTATTTTTGATTTAATGTTTACCTTGCTCCAGCAAAAGCAGGGGCACTATCCGAAACTATGGCATTGAGTTTTATATTCATAGATTTAACTTCTTCAATTAAAGATTTGATTTTAGGTATGGTTTCGATCATTCAATCTCTTTCACAGCTTGTATCCAGAGCTTTCCATATCAAAACTTCTCCTAAAGATGTGATAAATAATGACCCAAATAAATTTTGATTTAAAACATTTTTCCATCCATCAAATGCCAAGGTAACACCAATCTCATCACTACTTAATTTTTGGTCACGAATTGAATTTAATTTTGTTGTTTCATTTGTAAGAATACGATTTGATAATGTTTTTCGACCTGATAATAATAAAGATATAACCACAATTAGCTGCAATTTTTTTTCATAAGTCACAATTCAATTCATATGCTTCAACTGCAGCCACAATTTAATTTTTACATGCCACAATTAATTAAACTAATTTTTACCTGGTAAAACTAAACTTGGATTCAAAATTCAAAAAAATCCAATGTAGCTTGATTTTCAACCCAATGAAATGAGAACCCATTGGAAACTGTCATTCTTAGCAAAAGTTCTTCAAATCTTGATTGTTCTTTCTTTGTGATGTTGCGAACAGCAAATTTTCTAATTAAATTTTCTTTAGTTTTATTTGTTGGGTGACATACAGAAGAAGGTGATGATGACGAAAAAGATGATGACATTTCTATAATTTAAAATCATATCAATAAGTACAAATTATAATTAAATTGTTTTACATGCACTTTATAATTATTGTTATTCTCACCTGAATCTAATTCAATAATTTTTCGTCTTTTGTTACTCACAAGACTCTCTTTTTCATTGTCTGTTAAATTTACAATTTCATCTACTTCTTCCTGGCTTCCAATTTTCTCTAGGAAATGTTTACAACGTTTTAAGTGCCTTTTAACTTGTTGTTTTTTATTAACAAAGCTTTCTTTTGATAATTCATCTGTGTCCAACTTTTCGTGACAACCAACACAAACAGCATAGGTGTTCCATTGATTCTGTTTACCTAATACCCTGATGTACTTTGTTAAACGGTGTGTGTTTTTTGTCATGTTTATTATTATTATACTAAATTGAAAAACCAGGAACTAAAGAATATTTTTTTATTTCGTGTGAATAAATTTTTGAATTTTGAATTTCATTGGGTAATTTATTGGAACTACATTTGGAACGTTCCAAATGCACATGGGGTGTTTGGAATGATCAGCATTCCAATTTCCAAAACCTCACAATTGGACTTTACAATTCCAATTGAAATTCATTGGAACTATCAGATGCACAACACTGTTGATATGTAACACATACTGTAACTTTACAAAGATATTCTTAATGTTTTTTTTAACTTAATTCCAGCTGCATCCATCGGCATCCACAATTTTGACATACTTTACTTACATCAGGAAAATGGGTACGGTGCAGATCATCTATAATCATTAATTGCTTATAGTAACAATTGGTCAACTTCAAAATACTAAAACAAAAA